CCAACTCATGGCTGCCCCAAGCAAGGTGATGGCGTACCCGAAGGTACTCTTGCGCGTGCTCGTTTCTCCCGCGTAGTCCAAGTCGGCATAGCCTTTGAGCTCGATAGGGCCAGCTTCATAAACAAGCCCCAAGTTAGGTGTGCCTTGGAGGTAGCGTAGAACGCGTCCTCCCGTGCACACATGCTGGGTATGAGGGTTGCTCACGACTCGTCCAAGCACCCCGGCGGCGTATGCGAGGTTGGGACGGGTAGAAACGGCGGCATACATGAGCGAGCCCACTAGCGAATGAAACCGCTTCCCTTCGGCTTCATCGAGGGCGGATTCTTCCTCTCCCGTGAGGCAAGAGAAGCCCGTAGCTAGTGGTGTCCCCACCGGTTTGCTATTGCCCATGCCGAAGCGCTCCACTACCCCCTTCACATATTTATCTTGGTGGAGGTGGATGGTCCCGTTGGCTCGGTCGCGGTCGACGTGCATCCTGAGGTAGTACGTCACCAGTCCCAAGTCCCGCATTGCAACCTCCTCCCCTAACCGTTGCTTGACCTCCCGAATGAGGTCCTTGGAGTCGGAGAAGAGGAGAAGATCATCGACGTAGAGCAAAAGAACCAACTGCTTCTCCCAATCCTTCAACACGTACAAAACGCTATCGCACTCGCTACGCGCGAAGCCGTGTTGAAGAAGAAAATCGTCGATGCGCTTGTACAATCCGCGTGGACTTTGCTTTAAGCCGTAGAGGGTACGCTTGAGCTTCCATACCCTTCCACTACCATCATCGTACCCCGGGGGTTACCGCATGTAGACCTCTTCCATGAGAAGCCCGTAGAGAAAGGCGGTGCAAACGTCCAATTGCTCCACCTCAAGGTTGAGGGATGCCGCTAGCGCGAGCAACACCCGAAGAGTTGTAGCCTTAGCGACGAGAGCGAAAGTCTTGCTATAGTTCCCCCCCTCCCGTTGAGTGTATCCTTGAGCTACAAGTCTCGCCTTGTAGCATTCAACACTCTCATCGGCTCCCAACTTCTTTTTAAGCACCCATTTGCACCCTACCAAGTAGGCACCCTTCGGCGGGTCGACGAGCTCGAACACGTTGTTCTCTTTGATCGAGGCTAGTTCCTTCTCCATCGATTGCTTCCATAGTGGTTCATCTGGAGAAGCCAAAGCCTCGGTATGGGTGCAAGGGTCATCCCCCAAGGTTGTTCGCGGGTCAATGCCAATGGGAGGAAGGTGTAGAGGAAGTTTCCGCCTCGGTTGGTGGTACCTCCACCACGCCGTCGTCGCTCTCCTCGTTCTCTCTCCCTCCATTTTCGTCTTCCATTTCCACTTGCGGTGGAATCGTGATCGCTTCATCCTCCTCTCGTACAGGAAGGACGGCGGTGAGTTGTGGCATTGGTTGTTCCCGAGACGTGACGACGCGCTTGTCACCCAAGTCCCACACTTGCCATGCACGCTCGTTCGCCGCAATTCCCAAGTAGATCGTCGCACGAGCCTTCGGTTGCAACTTGTGGCAAAGGGGGTCCGGTACATGGTAGTAGCAAAGGCACCCAAAGGTGCGTAGGCGGGATAGGTTCGGCTTCGTTCCGCTCCATGCTTCGAATGGAGTCGTTCCCGGGAGCACCTTGGTCGGCACACGATTACGAATCCATGCTGCTAGCGCACTCGCCTCTCCCCACCACTCGTTCCCAAGCTTGGAGTGTTGAAGAAGTGAACGAATGGCTTCCACCAACGTGTGATTAAGTCACTCTGCCGCTTCATTTTGTTGGGGTGTGTAGGGTGTTGTGACGCCGTGCTTAATGCCCTTGCTCTTCATCCATTTCTCAAGCTCCGCGTTTACGAATTTACCGCCACCGTCGGTGCAAATAGCCTTGATCCACTTCTTGTCATCGTCGCAAACTTCAAGCGCCCACTCTTGAATCGCCTTGGTCACATCTCCCTTAGCCTTCAAGATTCGGGTCCAACACATCCGCGTCGCGTCGTCGAGCATCACCAAGAGGAACCGCGCTCCTCCCTTTGATGTGCACCGCATCGGTCCACACACGTCCATGCGAACAAGCGCGAGTGGGTCCTTAGCAAGGGGTGAGGTACGACTACTAAATGGCTTGCAAGCCATTTTTCCTTCAACACATGCCGCGCACACGCCCTTCTCGTCGTCGCCGGCAATCACGTCGACTCTCTTCGCAAGTCCTTTGTTGGCTAACTCCTTGAGTGACTCGTAGTTGGCGTGCGCAAGCCGATTATGCCACGCCTTGAGAGTCGCCTCGGAGCCTTGTGCCACGTTGGATGAAGCCGCTTTCGGGTGCGTCTTGAGTTGGTAGAGTTCTCAGTTGAGAACGCCTTATGCGAATTGCTCCCCCTTCCAAAAGAGGTTCATCTTCGCATCGTCCATAGTGAAGGTAACTCCCTTCTTCGCAAGTTGCGAAACGGAGAGGAGATTCACCTTCAACCCCGGGACATGAAGCACGTTCGTGATGTCCACTGGTCCGCCATCGACGATGAGACGCGCACTCCCAACTCCGACCACCGGTAGCAACTTGTCGTTTGCGAAGACGACGCGCGTGACGTCCCCCGGTGCACCAACGTTGGTGAGGAACGATGCTGAGTGTGTCATTTGTTGTGTTGCGCCGGTGTCGAGGAACCATGCGTCGCTTGGAGTGTTGGTCCCATCACCCGCCAATAACACGATTGACTCCCTTGAATCATCTGCCTCGCCGGATGCCGTATGCGCATTGCCCTCGTGGTTCCGCACTGCAATGCTGGCATGCCAGCACACCAACAACAGGCCACCACAGGTCACCACACGTGCTCATGTACGCGCACCTACTTCGCAGGTGCAAAGTGACGGTGACGTCATGCATTGCCACGCACATTGCGCAGGTGCCAAGTCGACCATATGTCGACGGTTGCACCTGAGGAGTCATGTTGACCACGTGCCACTGAACCACAGGTCGACTTTGCCGATCTACCTGGGCGACGGTCACGAACCTCGCAGACCTCGTCGTCCGGGTAACCTGGTCGACCAAACAACCATGTCGACCAGGTGTGTCATCCCAGGCCCGTCGACCGCCCAGGTCGATGACCACCTCATGTCGACCACACCAGGTCGACCACTCCCCTGGTCAACCAACTCCAGGTCAACAACCCACCTGGTCGACCAACTCCAGGTCGACCAATACACCTGTCAGCCGACCACACCCAGTCGGCTTCCCCTGGTTAGCGTCACCCAAGTCGACGCCCTCCACTGGACGACCTCCCAAGTCGACCAGCCGAAGTTGGCGCCCTTGCAGTGGCCCTTGTGCAGGTTGACCAGGCCTGTCGACCAGCTCGCCCACTGTTGCAGATCGGCTGCACTCCTCACACCCGACCCCGAGGTCGGCTCCGCCCAAGCAAGGACGGGGCCAACAACAACTCCCGTTGACACACTGGTGATCCTCGATTGATCCTAGGGAAGGGTTATAGGCTCGTTGTCCTGGGGTTTTATGGGCGCACTGACCCGCTACTTAAAAAGCCTTTTTGTCCCAATGGTCTAGTGGTTGGGATTCTAACATGGTATCGGAGCGAAGGTCTCGGGTTCGAATCCCAGTGTGTGCACTTCGGGCATCCCAGTGCGTGGGGGTGTCAGAGGTCCGCTGGTGATCCTCGATTGATCCTAGGGAAGGGTTGCAGGCTCGTTGTCCTGGGGGTTATGGGCGCACTAACCCGCTACTTAACAAGCCCTTTTATCCCAGTGGTTACTGGCTGGGATTCTGACAATCTTCACCAAGGCCCTAGAGATTCACATTTGTATCTCACTTCTGCCTAGTTCATTCGTTCCGCCATTCGTACTTCTTGATAGTTGCGTCATGCGCAACAATTGGGTATTTCATCAATATCGCACGTGTATTAGACATCGAGCCCCCTGATGTCTGCAGTCAGCCGCGAGGCTCGATGGTACCCAACAGATCCTGCGATCCCCGTCGTGGTACCCAGCATTCCTTCGTAGTAACCTTTATCCCTCCGTGATCACCACAAATCCTGAGCGAATTCTCTAACTGGTACCCCAACATTTCAACCGCACTGTACACTATTTCGGTTATAGAACATGTTTTTCTATGTGAACATAAATGATTCCTTGCTTCCTTTATTCATTCACTATAAAGTGTATGATATTTAATGATACATAACGTGCACAGTAAAGACTTACAACTATATGCAATTTCACATCAATACAAACAACCTTTGTTAGGATTCAAGACACTCTTGTAGCACACATAAACAAGCACGTGATATTTTCAAAACCTAGTAATGTGCTCGCTTTGATTATTGTGCGACAAATTTGGAATTTTTACCCCTCACCCATGCCCCTCGTTCTAGAAATGATCAAATCCAATACAAGTCATTCTTGTATTTCTCTCGACCCTTAAGAATTATCTCTGCTTGAGCCCAGTGTCTTGCGAGAAATCCCATTTGCTAAAACTAGAAGCAAACCTTCTCATGGGATAAATGGAGCAATATACTAAGATGGCCTGCATAGGTTTAGTTCGTAGTCACAAAAGGCCGCATCACGAACATTTTATATTATCTTGTATTCTTAAGCGTGTAAAAAGCACCATATTACAACCTGCCGCCACAATTTTCTCGCACTACCATACATTATCACTTGCATGAGCAAAAGTGGACCCAACGGTAGTGCTTTCCCTAGATGGAGTGACATCAAGCATAATAACTACAAGTCAGTAGAAAAATAATAAACTACAACAACTGCACATACGTAACCATGTTTGAAATGATTTCCAACACCTCCTAACTTTCATGTACGAAGAAACATGCAAACTATTATGGACGAACTTTAGCAAAGTACCATGCTAAATAAATATCATGATAATTATTCGAATTAACTCGACATTCTGAGTTTACCAGTGGTGTTCCGGGTTCGTGGTTGCATTACGTCCACCAGCAGCACATGACGCATGGGTATTAGCATCCACATGCTGTTGTGCAGGGTAGATTGAGCCTACGTACAATGGCCATTGATGGATCATGTATGGTTGCATTGGCACTATCCAAGGGTATTGCCAATACAACCCTTATTGGAGTGTTGCAACACCTCTATTCATTACATCCATTGAATAAAATGCAGCATTTGGGGTCAGACATAGGGACGCGGATTTCCTGCCACTGATGTCCCACCTGCTGCTGCCCTGCCAACTGCTGCCCCACCTACTGCTGCCCTGCCTGCTGCTGCCCTGCCTGCCGCTGCCCTTCCTCCCAGTGTCCTGCATGCTGATGCCCCACCTGCTGTTGTCCTACCTGTTGCTGCCCTGCCTACTAGTGCCCCACCTACTGTTGTCTCTCCTGCTGCTGCCCTGCCCACTATTGTTCCACCTGCTGTTGTCCCACCTGCTGCCTCGCTTGCTGCTGCTTCGCCTGCTGCTGCTTTGCCTGATACTGCCCCACCTGCTGTTGTCCCACCTGCTGCAGCCCCACCTGCTATAGCCCTGCCTGCTGCTGCCCCACATGCTGCCCTGCATGCTAGTCTTTTCTCTGTTGCTGCCCTCTCATTCTCTGTCCTCTTTGCCGTGGTCTTTGTTGCAATCCTCCCTGTTGCTACCTTGTGTGGTGATGCCCTTCCTACTTGTCGAGTTCCCTGCGGCCTATGCTGACCCTACAGTCGTGGCTAGCTGTCAAGTTTCCCTTTCAACCTCTTCCATTTGGCATTGTAGACTCATGCGAGGCCGAAAATGGATCTGGACAACATTTGCCATGTCTCTTCGGTCGACTGAGGTTTGCTGGTGCTGCTGCCGCTGCCCCTGCTACTACTGCTGCTGCTACGGGTGGTGGTGCTGCTGCTGCTTCTGTTGTTGTTGCTGCTGCTGCCTACCTCCCAGTGTCTGCTGTGGCTCAATACCCACCCCCTATAGCTGCGGGTGCTCCTCTCCCCTTTCCCTTGTTTCAGCTGCAGCTTCTTCTACTCCTTCTCTCCACCCTTCCCTCTGCTGCTGATGCACCCCTTCGCCCTGCTCCTACTCCTGGTGCTGCTGTCCCTGCTGCTGACTGGCTGCTGCTGCTGCTGCTGCTGCTGCTGCCCCAGTTGCCCTGCTGCTATTGCCCCTGCCGCTGTCCACGCTGTTGCTGCTGCTACCTAGCTCCCAGTGGCTGCTAATTTCCTCTCTGCTGCCGTGGCTGCCTCCTCAACTGTGGCAGCTGCTGCCTCTCTTCCCCTCCTTCTGCTGCTGCTCCTAGACTTCCTGCTGTGCCCAACCCCTCTCCTAATGTGGCTGCTGCCTCCCTCCTTGTTGCTGCTGAGCCCCCTCCCAGTTGCTGCTGCCTCCCCTCATGCTGTTGCGGCTGCCTCCAACCCCTCTCTTGATGCTGCAGCTCCCCTCCCTCCCCCTTCTACAACTGCCTCTTGCCCTGTGCTGCCATTGCTGCTGTCTCACCCTCCACCCCCTTGCCACTACTGCCTCACTCCCTGTTCTGCCCCCCTTGCTGCTGGTTTGGCTCTCTCCCCCTCTGCCGCTGTTGTTGCAACCCCCCCCCCCCCCCCCCCCCCCCCCTTCCTCCCCTTCTCCCCTCTGCACCCCCTCCTCTTACATGGTTCAGCTGCAACCTCCCTCCCCACTGCTGCCTCTGCCTCCTCCCCATCTCACCCTGGCTGGGGCTGCCCCCCTCCAAATACTTGATGTTGCTGGTTCTGCCGCCCCTACCCCCCTTCTAGGTGCTCCCTGTTGCTTTCCATCATACGCATCTTTCGAGTATGAATAATTCGTTTCCTCATTACTTTGATCTCCCACTTATACATCAACTCCCTCACCACCTTGCATCTCACAACTTGGGCATCTACAAGATCGAGCTTCCATCCTCACATTGGATCCCTTCATGGTCCTCCATGTTGCACTCGGGCAACACACACTTCACCGATAGCAATCGTAGATGTATGTATCTCAACATGAGCTTGTGGTGTTTGTCTCTCATCCCATGGCACTGTCTGAGACGCCGACAACTCACATGTACGCATGTTATGACCTTTCTCACTGTATTTTCCACACTTGAGTATTACATCGGAAGAAAAGTGGAGGCACGAAATTTTGATTTTTTTCGCCAACCAACACTCTCGCGCTATAAAGCATGCTTCATAATATTATTTTCTAAAGCCTCGAAGCACAAATGTGAACTACCGTTTGAAACATTTCATACGTGGACGTCCGACCTACTTCAGATACTACGGAGGTAGGGTCGTCCCATCGCGGACCACCTTTGTTGGGTCGAGGAGCACGACAGGCATACTGTACACCATTTTAAGAAACTCCACTCTATAGTAGCGTTTTACCATCCTATGAGCTTTCTTTGATGTGCTGCAGAGAGCAAAATTTTGGACACAATGTCCTAAGTCCCTATATAGGGGTGAAGTATGAAGGGGCACAAAAAAAGGAATTGGAGTAAGAATCGTTTGAGTACATGGTCACGTCATACATTATTTTAAGCAATTGTATGCACAATCGACCAGACACACATCCCACATCTTGGTTACCCACATGAGCATGAGCTTGTCTCGAGGTTGTTAACATCTCTTATGACCTGCCATATATCATTTCTAGTCCTTCGAGTCACCGTGCATGTCTGCTCCAAGACCGACCCTCAAGGCCGTGTGACCACATTCTCTCTTGTTTGCTCTATCGTGTGTTGCATACCACACTTGGCATTTTCATGAATGATACAAACAATTTTGGTAAACAATTGCTCATCCGCCATATTCTCGTAAATTGCTTCCCTGCCTATCTCAGCCAACAGCATCTGTGCGGGACTCTTCTTCCTCAACCTTTTTAGCGTAGCATGCCTAGTGGTTTAACAGGTCACAACCATAACGAGCAGGCCCAAAACTCGAGGATGCCAATTTTCTGAATAACCCCTCCTTTGTCAAATATTCAACCCCCCCCAAAATATACCTTTTATTTGTTTGCTTGTTAAATAATAATATTAATAATATAATAATAATAATAGTAATGTCATATTAAAAAAGAACTTATGCAGTCAAGGTACTTGGAGCAGCCTCAATCTTCCCATGCCATCCCCAAGTTCACAAGCTTTTGTTCACAATCAAGTGCACACATGTTAAGAGTTTGGCCACACCATCTCCTCTTGTTGTGACAACCGTCCTCGAACACAATCGGAAGACATACAAAACTGCAAAGCGAGCACCACGGGAAACTAACCCAGCACGGAAAAACATAACGCCATCCTACCATTGACACATACGACATGGGGTTCAACTCCTTTAACATAGACGAGAGACTCTCAAAATAATGAAACCCATGGCCAACTAAAACATCTTCCTCTGCTGATTGTTGTAGAGCACGATGTGTGGTGTTGTACAAACATGACACGTCCGAAAACTTAAGATGCATGCATGCCATCCCCAAACATAAAGTGTGTACGGTTGAAAACACGAACATATGATCGCACCAAGTATATGCCGCACCATTGAAGCGCCATGCTAATGCATGGCGCATCCGCGGGCTGCGTCATGCGTTTGATGCATGGCACAACCCTTTAGAAGCGCCAAACTCATATTATGTGTGTAATCGTGCGGATGACAATGACTACGTTAAAAGTTGATAGGTCGAGGACATACTTGTAAAGAGCAGTGCAAAACTTGTCCGCAAGCTTCACGCTCACCACGCTCAGTGGCATAAGTTTACTAGGGTTGGGCAATAACGTGAGGATTTGAAAAGGGGATTTGAGAGCTTATTAGGAACCATGGTGGTGACATAGAGGTTTTGAAGGTTATCGACACCCACCAAGTTGCTAGAGAATGAGGGGATGTTTAGGCCTATGAGGGAGACAGAGGGGATTTCCGAACACATGAGAGTAGTAGCGCTGCGAGCGACAACCAATCCAGAGGAGGGGTCGGCCAAAGCGCCTGCGGCAGGAGCTGAAAGCAGCAAGAGACATGTGTGGTCGCGAAAGAAGCACGGAGATGAGCCAGAGCCAAGCGTAAAGGAGAGTGTCACGTCAGTGGTGGACACATATTGGCTAGCAAAGGCAAAAGATTCTAAACTAGCGATAGCTAAAGGTCCTAGTCTAGGCACTGGCAAATAATAAGATCCAACAATAATAGAGTCGACTATGTACATATCAAAATAAACATCAACCATGTCCATATCAAACACAGGCAAACCATGCTGCAGTAGCACAAATCAGTCCGGGGTGGCCACCGGAGGACCAAAATGGGCATGATAGAGGTCGTTGAAGCAGCGGAAGCACGGTCCAACGGAGTGATCGTGATGCCCGTAGATGGTGCCAACGCATGGACCAGTTAGAAGTCGGTACTAGCAGGGCCCTGCGTCCCAGGGACGCGACACCTAGCTAGCAGGGCTACCACCGAGCCGACGCTCCCCGAGGAACCAGGCCCCCATTGTTGCTGAGAAGCCCAATGCTGGAACTGTTGTTGCTGATGTGACGGATGCTACTACTACAACTGCTGTTGCGGCAGCTTCTGCTGCTACTGCACCGCCACACCCCCAAGACCAGCACCTCCTCCGGCCGTACCACCAGACCTAGAACCTCCTCATGCGGAAGCCCCACTAGACTTACCAGCACATCATTGGCCTCGCCATAGGTGTTAAGATCAGAGAATTACTAGAAATATGAAAGTACAAGGGAATATAAACCTAACATAGGGAAAACAGGAACACCTAGACTACAACTAAAACTATATAAAATATAGTTTGACACACCCCATAGTCTAGGTGACGGTAGTCCTATAAAGGGCAACACAAATCTCAGGGTGGATCACGAAGTCACCACGCAGTCTGAGAGCAAGGGTCACAGGACTAGTCAGCAAGAACAAGCAACTGTCACAAGACCAGTTCACAAGCACAAAATAAATCTCAGGGTGGATCTCAAGATCACCACACATTCCGAGAACAAGCAAGAGGCCACAATGCCAGTCCACATGCAATAGAAAATATAGAAGATGCAAGAGTACAAGACAAGCAAGACAAGCAAGACAAGCATCTCTACGTAAGCAAGTGAGGACAGGCAGGCACTAGGCCCAGCTATGTGCAGAAGCGTTGGTGGTCACAAGGCGGCAACACCTTGGTGAAGATATCCGCGGTGTTGGCCTCAGAGACCACACGTCTCACGAGTGCCTCACCACGATGCTGCAACTCGCGCGGATGCGATTGCGTCAACGTAATGGTGCGAGCTGCCCTGTCCCTGGTGATTTGCAGGCCAAGGTAGCGCTGCAGCTCACCAAGGACACTGCAAGTGTGTCTCCTCTGCAGTTCCTCCTTCACGGAGGCCAGTGCGTGTCGGTCGGGAGTGGCGAAGACAAGGTCGTCAACGTAAACCAGAACAACGAACGGGGTCGAGCCACGGCGGACGAACAGCGACGGGTCAGCAGACGACGGAAAGAAGTCAAGAGCAATTTAAGAGGGCACGACAACAGCAGCAGCAGCAGCAGTAGCAACAGCAATCACCGTCTCAGTCGCAGCGTCTGGAGAGGATAGAGGAGGAGCCACAGCCACAGCGGGAGAGAGTAGAGGAGGAGTCACGACTGCAGCACTAGGTGCAGTTGAGGCCACAGCAGGAGAGAGCAGAGGAGGAGTCACGATCGCAGCAGGAGAGGGTAGAGCAGGAGTCACGGCTGCAGCAGCAGGTGCAGTTGCAGCTACAACAGGAGAGAGTAGCGGAAGAGTCACGGGCGCAGCAGGAGAGGGTAGAGCAGGAGTCCCGGTCGCAGCAGCAGGTGCAGCTGCAGCCGCAGCAGGAGAGGGCAGAGGAGGAGCCACAGGAGCAGCAGCAGGGGCAGGTACCATCGCAGCAGACGCCAGAGGAGGCGGAGCAGCAGCGGTTGCACGACCTGCCCGACCCAGCCCCTGCACGCTTTGTTCGTGGTCCCCTACCGTCCCCTCCTGTTCCCCCTGTCGAGTCCCTTTCCTCGTCCCCGTGGACTCATCGTTCTCCCCTCAGTCGTGCTGTGTCTCCAGAGCCCCATCGGTCTCGTTAACGTGTAGACAACCCGTTTCACCTTGTTCTCTGCTCTCGTGTTCCTCCGCCGCCGGTCCTACCACAGCCTCCTGAGTCGTCCCTCATAGTGTTTCCCGACCCGTTGTCCGACTACGTCCGTGCCTCCCATTCTGTCGTCTTCCGTGTTTTGTCTTCGTTGGTCACTCACCTGACTACCCCGCCGCTATCAGCTATGATACCATGTTAAGATAAGAGAATGACTAGAAAGATGAAAGTAACAAGGGAATATAAACCTAACCTAGGGAAAACAGGAACACTTAGACTACAACTAGATAAACTAGATAAATCATAGTTTGACAATAGGCACCAACTGCTGCAACTTCCTTTGGAGCAGCGGGCTCAGGAACTGCAGACGAGGACGGGGAGGCAGCGAGCAGGGACGGCATGCAACCCTCAAAGATGGAAGGAAGCACTGTACCAGAGGAGGAGGCTATGGGATGGAGGCTACACTTGATCTTGGTGAGTCGCTTCTCAAAACGATCGTTAGTGAGGCTCGAATAAGGACCTCAGTAGCGGTAGCTAGTATCAAGTGTTAGAATACTAGTGAGAATGACGAGAATGGATGACTAGGAAAGGGGGAGGGGTACAAGTACAATGTCGAGAGAAATTGTGTACCCCCTAAGGCTAAACCCACTATAGCCTGGACAACTGTAAACACATAAACTAAGCCTAGATACAACTAAGCATATATGTTTGACACACCCCCATAGGCGAAGTGGGGGATAGCCAGAGCA